CCCGCAGGTCACAGACCCCCCTCGCTCCCTGTCCCGGCCCCGCAGGGTCACAGCCCCCCCCCAATCTCGGCGGGAGCAGCACTCACTCCAGGGGCAGCCCAGCGCCTCCATGCGCAGGTGGATGCTCCGGTGATACTCCACAGGCAGCAGCCGCAGGTAGCGAGCCAGGATCAGGGGGCGCAGCTCCCGCTGCACCGGCGTGTGGCTGTCGAAGTTGCCCTGCAGTACCTGGCCGAGGGACGCGGAGGGAGCGGTCAGCCCGGGGCCGGAGCGAGGGCAGGGGAGAGGCTCTGTCCCCACGGCCAGCTGGCGTGGGAGGGGAGGGGGCAGGCTCGGAGGATGACCGAGGGGGGGTCTGGTTCTGGGCTGCACCCAGATCTCAGGCTTCAGCCGAGGGCCATGCTGGTGACTTGCCAGGCCCCTGAGGGTGGCACCTCTGGGGCAGGAAACAGCAGCCCCCGGAGACTACGGGTCCCAGCATGCAGTGCTCCATCGTGACAGGATGCAGCCTGGCTGGAGAGACCCTAAATGCCGCCCCGAAGGGCCCCTGGGCCTGGGCACTGACTGGGCAGGGCACGCGCGGTACCCGGTGAGCATGGCACGCTGGCACTGGAGATGAGGGCACACTGCAGAGCTCGTAGGCTGCATCAGGGCACCTGTGCCACACACACGGCCTAGCTAGAGGACAGGACAAGAAGCAATGGGCTTAAATTGCAGCAAGGGAGGTCTAGGTTGGACATTAGGAAAAAACGTCCTAACTGTCAGGGTGGTTAAACACTGGAATAAATTGCCTAGGGAGGCCCAGCGGCCTGGGGTGGGGGGAGCGGGCAGGGCCCCGGGGGGCACGGGCAGATGCCTGGGGTGGGGGGAGCGGGCAGGGCCCCGGGGGGCACGGGCAGGTACCTGAGCCGGCTGGGGGGGCGCGGCGCCGGGCGCTGCCCCCGTGTAGTTGCGGTAGTGCACACCGTCGTGGCTGTACTGCAGGCGGTACCTGGTGACGTAGCCCCCGGCCGCCGGGCCGCCCTGCGTGACCAGTGCGCTGACGAAGGTGGGCCGCAGGAAGTCCACCTGGAAGTAGGGGCTGCGGTCGGTCTCCAGAGGGCTCCAGCCCGGCTCGATGTTCAGTCTGGGAGGGGCAGAGGGGAAACGATGGGGCAGGCCCAGCGCCAGCCCTGACCGAGAGGGGCACAAACTCCCCGGGGTGGGGAGTCGCCAACCGAGATCGATTGACGCCAGGGCCCTGCCACCTGACGGCTCTGTTCCTCAGGGGGCTCCGCAGCTCCCATGGGGCATGACACCCCCCCCCAGGGCACCCGCTCCCCTCCCGCCAGCAGCAAAGGGGGCAGGTCGCAGCACCTGGAACCCACGCGTGACTCAGAGCACAGGGACCTCGGTCGCCCTCCGGCCCCTCGCCTTAGACGCTGCAGGGACAGAGCCCAACCCACAGATCCGAGCCCCACTCCACAGGCAGGGAAACCCCCTCCCAGGGCTGAGACCCTCCCGTCCATTCCTGGGTACGTCTACGCTCCGAGCCCGGGGGTCAGGCCCTGCTCGCCAGTCGGGGTGCGGCTGGGGGCCTGGCGGAGCCGGGCCGAGCAGAGAGCGGCAGGATGCACTGCCACGGCTGTTCCGGCTGGCGCCAGCTCGGCTGCACGAGGGGGACCCCAGCCCTTGCTTGCACCGCGGACGTCGCCTGAGAGTGATGGCGGGGATCGGCTCAGACTGCCCTGAGCTAACCCCTGCCCTGGGCCAGGCGCGGGCTGGGCAGAGCCTTTCCAAACACGTCCAGCCCCACGTCACGGACGGAGAATCCACCACATCCCAAGGTCAGTTCCGCTCCCGCCAGCCTGACCGCGCCCATCTCCTGCCAGCCACGGGGGGACCTGTGTCCGCTGGCAGGAGGGGCCCTCCCCCCATTCCCACCCCCACACCCA